GTTCAGTTTTATATAGGTATCCCTATATTCATCACCCTTTACAGTGGAAAATTACCAATCACAATTAATCTCAGCGGTTAAGTAGAAGTCTGCTGTACAAAGTAGTTACGTTATTCCTACAGTTTAAAACACTAAATTATTGAATTGATAACTTATGACCTAGGCGATTTTTGGAGCAAATGAGTGTATTCTGACTATATTTATAAAATCTTCAAGGAAGCGTAGAGAAGGAACAAAACATCAATGTAGCAACCTTCCACCAAAAGGCATGCCTCGCAATATTTTTTTTTACTTTTTAAATGGTAGTGAATTAATAAGTAGTCATTGTCTGAATTCTTCATCAATTACGATGTATGTTTGGAAGTAGTTTAATAAGTTTTTATTTCAGAAAGCATACGTGGGAAGCGAGTAGTTGTGACCGGTGCAAGTACCGGTATTGGGGAACAAGTCGCCTACCAATATGCAAAGCTGGGAGCTAATATGTTAATCACTGCTCGGAGAGAAAACCTACTTAAACAGGTGGGTGTTATCATTATTATATGCCATCTGCATAGTATTTTGCATTTCAGAGTGCGTTTTAGAGTTATTGTGAGTACCCTGTAATAATCCCACTGAATTTTATCATTTTGTAAGTATCCTTGCAATATACGCAATAAACAGGGACACGACTAAGACGGATTTCATGTTTAGTAAACGTTCACCATATTTGCATCATATACTTTAACACGGTCCTCTGACATTGAAATAATGTATATGTTTAATTATATAATATATATGTGTAATTTTCAAAATAGCCCCCATATGTGTGCAAGACTGTGTGCAACTTTAAATAATCGAATAAGACTAACAAGACACACACTGATTTCAACAAAATGCAATGGTTTATGAAACTTTTCATTGAGAGATATTTTTCATGAAAAGAAGTCTCTTAATCGACGCACTAGATGTTTTACCAGATGTAAAAAATATCTGTTCAATCTGTTAGAGAGTCTATGATATATGCAAGTTTGCATTATGATAGTGACTTCGCGTTTGCACATCGGTTCCCACGCCGTTGCACTATTGTTTAGAATCAACAATTTGCATGTTTAGGGTGGAGATTATAAACATATATTTCAGGAATTTTATAAATAGTTTATTTAATAATTGTATTTAATAGTGGAAACTTCGAAAGGCTTTAAAGCGCGGCTACGCGATCCCAGGGATTGCACCAGTGACTCATGGGAAATGTAATGTACATGGTCCGCCCAGTTCATTACTTGGTTCAACGTCCACGGGGCCCATGTCATCTTTTGATAGCAGTTTTCTTGCTTGCATCATGGAGCTCCTTATTTAGTTCCGTGCTTGCACGAAACAGCGCATCGTCATAAATAATTGTGGTTTATTTGAATGACTCACACACACAATATGGTTATCGCACAATACAAATTTTCCATAATGTATCTTGTCGGCTAGGCAATAATGACGTAATGGTTATTCAACGTTACAAGAAAACAAATTGTGCAAACAAATTTAAAAAATCGTTATACAGCTGAGTTCGGCAATATACATGTATATATATTCCAAACTCACACGTCACAAAAGGGTTTTGAACAGGAATATTTTTAATATATTTTGCGGGATCTTTCAATTTATTTACTTCAAGACACATTTGTACTTTTTAAATTGTCCGAAACGTCCTATATTAAATTCGAGAGGCACACACGACATATTGTCGGGGACCTATTTGTTGATGAGACCCTTAAACGAAACCCACTATGATCATGTCATCATGGTCAGCCAGGCCCTTCACTTCCGCCAAATAACCAAACTAGGCCAGTACTCGCAGCTTAGTTCGTCTTCAAGTTGTCATCGACAAAGGGGTGAAAACAATTTTTTTTCCCTTCTCGTAACTGACCTAGTTTACCTCTGTTGAAATCACCAATGGAGAAATAAGAATCGAGCAAGTTTACAAGCGAACGTCTTTCTTTGCGCGCATACACCAAGAAAGTTCAGTATTGAAATGCTCACACACAGTCCCTCCCCTCTCGTGCACACCCCAGCTCGTGCCATCCTCCTTTGCTCAGGCCGACGCCCCTGAAATGTTCCGAACAAACAGCTTACAGCATAGCCTGACGAGGTCGCGTGAATTGTGCCCTTTGCGGTGCTCCGAACCCAACACACGCCTGTCAGAACGATGTAGTATTTCACTTCCCGACAATTTTTTGTCTGTACCAATCAAATTGCAGGAACCTCTGGTAGTGAAATAATGTGTGATAAGGTGCTGGCAAGTTTCGTCTCAATGTTTATCATCTTATTGAAACAGTCTGTGATTTCTGTCGACAATGCAAACACGGCTTTTATCTTGTCGGCGAGACATGTACTATTCTATCAGGCGTTAGTGAGGTCTGATGCCGTTCGGCCGGGTGGGGTCTACTCACGTCTAAATGTCAAGACTACTCACAGCATATTTAGCACCATAATATCACTTACACCATCAACTCCGTAATAACATTAACATACCTAGAGATTCAACAAACAACTCGGGATTAAAACCTCATTTTGAGCAGTCAAAACGACTGTTTGAATCGTGCTTTCTCGTCGCTTTTTCCGCGGAAATAAAACTGAAATCGCTGCGAACTTGTAAATTAACATCGAAATTGTATATATGTTTGCGTGAGACTTGAAAATAAAGCACCACAGGTGTCAAGATTGTCGAAAAGAGCACCCCGAAGCGATGATTCACGTTTGAGTGTCATTTGCATACTGGAAACTGGCGACAGTATTTCCTTTTATACACCCGGAGCCGCAGTTTAACCGTAAGACACATCCCTTGTAACTATGTGATCGTGCCAACGACTTCTACGATTGACTGGTCACGTGTTTACTCTACCACGCCTTAGAGACTTGGCTTTTAAAATAGAAAGCTTGTACCCTTTTGTAAGAGAGAGGGAGAGAAATAGGTCAATGAAGCTGGACTATCTATAATAAACTAATGTCTATTCCTTTTGGTCGCATCTGGTATCTCTATATCAGCCAGAAAGTTTCTGTTCATGTTGTATTCCCTTTCAACTCATCTCATAGATCTAACTCAAACTGATTTCAACAAAATGCAATGGTATATGGAACATTTGGTTGAGATTGAAATTTTCATGGACCTCCTGAGATATATATTTGTTTAATTTGTTTTCCTCCACCTAACAACTGTTTTGCTCACCCTACTCTACCATTGGTTGACCACTCTATTATTCGAACCTAATTATTGTGTTTCCTGTATTTCGAAGTCACTATAAGGTGACATATTCTGAAGATAATAATAATTTATTTTCTGTGCAGGTTGTAAAGAAATGTTTAGACTTGGGGGCGCAATCCGCAAAGTACATTTCACTGGACATGCAAACCATTAACGAGACTGGTAAATTGATAACTGAAGCTGAGAAGACACTCGGTGGATTAGATTATCTCGTTTTAAACCACGCGCTCTACAACGTGGAATTATGGGATGGCGATATCGAGGGACTTCAAGCACTAATGAATATCAACTTTATTTCCTATGTGAATCTAGCAACCAAAGCACTACCCATGCTGTCTAAGTCTAATGGTAGCATAGCTGTAGTGTCAGCTGGTGCTGGTAAGTCATTCCTTGTTGTGTTTTCCATGGAAATAACTATGTGTATTAATAAACCAGTGCGGGATTGTTTCCGGTGAGTCTCTCGGACCCCGTATTCCAGCAGTTATCAAGTTGATTTGATCCGTATAAAATGGATGAAATTCTTAAATATTATTAAATACGTTGTTCAAAAATATCTTCGTGCCATCGAGTGTGTATTCTCTAAATTGTCGACGAACTTCCAATACAATACCAAACGTCCTTATTGTATGCAGTTATTAAAATCTGACTTATTATGACCAATCAGAGGTAAATCTTATTTGAACTGTGGTAGCACATTTCAATACCTGATGCCCTAATTCTTTTTTTTCAAATTTTATATTTACTTTCGTTTCGCATTGTTTAAACTATAATTGAAAATGTTGAAAGAAAGCTACTATATTAAATCATTTAAATGTGTAGTATGTTCACGATACCGGTCACTCCCCCAGTAACTTGGCGTTTGGCAGTTTGTCTATGACATATAAGCAAATATATACTTTTAAAGAATGATTTTGTTCCAACAATTTGTTGAAAGTTTACTCAAGCTTAAGTCTTCATTGACATTGATGTCTTAATTGGCCACACTTTTAACCCACCAATTGTCAATGCGGGTTCATTAACCCGTTCAAATTCAACGTTGTCTGTGAGTTCAAGTTAATATATTTTCAAACTCCCAACTTTCATTTGGCTCAATTTGTTTGATACCAATACACACCAATGCCTTTTAATTGAATGTTCATTGATGACTGTCACAACGAAATCAGTTAAAGTGTGTGATTACAATGTATATTGTTTTATCCACAATACCTACAATGTCGATAGATAATAAAGGTTGATTACCAAATACAACACTCAACAATGAATGCAACCCGATTGAATGTTACGAAACGGGCAGACGGACTAGTATTAAGAAAGAACATACCAGGTTTTCAGTACATCAAATATGGAAAGAGCGGCTACTGACAGTGTTCATTAATTGTCCACCATTTTGTTATAATCATTGTGTTGTTGTTGTTTTTCATTGCAGGTTTGTATAGTTTGCCTGGTCTTGTTGCCTATTCTGCCTCAAAACACGCCTTAAATGGGTTCTTTGAAGGATTGAGACTTGAACTGAAATATAAGGAAATCGATGTAGCTGTAACATTGCTTTTACTTGGTGGTATAACCACTGATCATGTGATTGATATGATACCGAATTGTGACACATTGGCACATTTTGGTGACCCAACTGAGGCTACCTCAATCATCGTGAAAGCCACGAGTTCCAAACAGACATGGGCTTACTACCCCTGGGCTGATGTAAGAATCATGGAAATAGTACATACTATTTCACGTGATCTATGTAATATCATGATAGCAGACTTACTGTTCCCAATGTTAAGAATGATGAAGATATAGTATACACAGATAAAACATTACTTAAACACCAGTAAACCAAGTGTCTATCATATCGAATAAATACATCTGACCGTGTGGCGTCAGCAGATGCATGAATGAAAGTGTACAGATTGCTATTAGAATATATGATTTTCTGTATATGATTTCACTAAAAATATTGTTAATGTTATATAAAATCGTGGTTGTGTTTCAAAATTACAATTTCTTAAATCTGCATTTACGAAACCATTGTACTTAATCACACGTGTACTCCTGCCAAATACTTATGCACTCAGTCATGTGTTGAAATAAATAAAGCCGAGTATTGTTTTTATCTAAGTTGGAAGTAGTAAGGACTGTTTTATTTTTCTAAATATGGAAGAATTTACTTGGGAAGCTGAAATCAACCTGCTTGGTATTGTGATCGCCATGAAAAATGATTAAATTGGTATGGCAACATATCTATAAAAATTGCAATTTTAAAGCTAGCCTGTATTGAGATTCACCGGAATCATGGTTTTCAGGAACCTAGAAAAACCCAAATCAACAGATTGTTTCATGCCACTCAACTCGTGTGGCTCAATATACTATTAGTTATATTACTTTTTTGTTATTGACCTGTACTACAACAGAAAGTTCAGAGCAAGTTCAATGTTTTATATGTAATGTGTTTCTTTGTTTAATTGTAGAGCCATCTGTGAAATGTGGTGTCATAACCTCTGCATTATTGGTGCTCATTTCTGATACTTTACTTTTAGTCATTGTTTTTACTTTTAGTTATTGTTTTTATCATATGCTTATTAGAATGATTTTCTGTAATATCATCACAACATACAAAAACTACCTTTCCATCCTGACGCCTGAAAATTTCGGGTCCTTTCCACGCTGAATAATCTGTTCACTAGTAATAAAATTATGTATGTATGCTACATACAAAGATGTTATGTGGTAACTAATTACATATGTATAGTGTTACTGATCAAGATTGATTAAGGTTCTTATCATAAACACGTTAATAAGCGATATGACCATGATTATTACAAAGCTAGTTGTGGTCATCAAAGACCAACATAATGCTGTAAGCCAATCAATATATTGTGCCGTCTTATGACAACATTGCTGCAAGTTAAAGTTTTCGCACATTTCATGTAAATATCTTTAGACTCTTATCTAGTTCATGCAGATCAACTGCTACTGTCTCAAAATGAAAACTAACTGCAAGTTTTGGTTTTGTTCACCAGTACTTTCAAGTAATTTCCAAATCCTGTCAGCTGATGCATTGCCGACAATAAAGTTTAACCAACATTTTATGTTCTAAATATTCTTTACTTAAACGTCAGCTTTTTTGAACATAAAAATAGTAATCGAATCTTTTAATAGTGTTGACTATTGATTCTTTCAAGCGTCTGATACGCATCAAAATGAATATGCTTCGTAAGACAGATCAACAATATTATTCTTAAACACAAAATCATGTGCAGTAATCAACGTCCGCATTTAGATCTGTAACATGCTTGGCCAGTCAAGAACAATGTAACTGCTAATGATTATTTTCTTGCCAAGATCAGTCACTAGCCGACACACAGCTACTTCATTTTCTAACTTTGGTATACAGTATCCGACCTCATTGCCAATGGGTTCTCGTAACTATGACTTTGTATCATCATTAAAACTCTGCTACCATTTGATACTGAACAGAGTGTCTATGGGAACAAGCTTTATTTCGTCGTACAATATGGATTTCCATATTGTCTTCATCTATATTGGGTTAACATTGTAATTAGTGTTATGAATATTTGGAAAATTAGGAATCGTTTCTGAATTAAAATATTGAACATTTCAAGTAAGAAAACGTGAATTTTGAATATATTAACACAAATATGTCAACTGCTCAAATTGAAAAATTACGATTTTTCGATGATGCCGTCACAGCGTCTCGTCTTTTTCGGTGGTTATTGTAATTGTTCATTTCATCTCATAGTTGCAATATTACACTAGTATATAAGCTCACTTGTAACGTATTTAATGCTTACACGTGTGTGCTACCAAGACTATACTGGCCTTTCTTAACAGATAATTTTCACTTCCGACTATGTCTGTAGTACATTAATAAACTAAAAACATACATTGTCAGACTGCCAGACTCATGATTCCAATGATTGATGGGAGTTGGGAGATGTAATCCGCGTAGGTTGGAAGTATTAATTGATTATGCCTAAGTTTATGTGGTCTCTTTAACATATATATACATATATCGTGTACTGTACTGAAACATCACATTATCACTACTGTTTAACAAAGCATATAATACAAACATATGACAGTGTGACCCCAGAAGGTGGTCATGCTTGCACCATCTACAAATAACATATAATAATCAAATGCATTTGAATCACAGATTTTTAAGTTAAGCAGATAAGATTAGCAGCTCCATAAATCATACTTATTTGACACTGTATTGCTTATCTTAATAAACTGATTTCTATTAAAAATAAAGTGTCTAACTATTCGAAGGCTACCACAGTACTCCTCTTCCGTTCCGGTGTTCAGTGCTGTAAAAAGCTTTCCCGAAATCAATGAATACACCATACCAACAACTCTCTATCTATCTTTTATCTGTCTATTGATTTGGACTGAGTTAAACTACTGTAAAAATGGTCCGCCCACATATCACAATTTCTGTTTTACTCGAAACGCATTGACCATCGTATCGTTTACTTGCTCCAAGAAAACATTATGCTTCTAATTAATAAATGAATATGCTAGTAACTCCGCCGTAGACAGAAATTCCTTTTTTTGCATTTGCGAAGTGTGAGCTTGAATATGTATCCTCATTTGGCTGGCTAGAACCGGTAGAGAACTTAGTTTGTTATTTATGTTGAATGATAATAAAACATGCAGTTCTTGTTAGTGGGTCAACAATATTCCTGTGAGATAAAAGATGCGTGGTGGTTTCTGCCCTTACATGAGATGTACCGTTAATGGCATCAATTGGTACAAAAATAAATTTGTCAGATTTGTAGCGATTCATAATATTCGAGCTAACTTTTGACCACAAGTTGATATACAGAATTCGTTTCTCAGCACCAGCGCAAAGCGGTTGCGTAGTAATATATACCAAATCATCAGTTGAGCAGATAATATACATTGGCATATGTTCAGATACAAAATAAATAACAAAATATTTGTTGTAATAATCAAAGCATCAATCGCAACCTTGAATGGTAGAAGAAATCTTACCAAGACAGTCGGTATACTTCTCCAGATTGCCATTCGTATTGGAAGTAGATAAATACAGAGCAAAAACAACGTATTCACTTCCGCTCCAGTCAGTCTAGGATCATTGAATTTTAGTAATATGATAATGACAGTTACAGTGATTTTCTTTAATGAACGGTCGTTCTGTCATAGAACCGGTCAGAGCGAAAAGATCGAAGATAAATAATTTAATTCATGCTTCCCTAGCCAGTGGAGAAGACAGATGTATGAAATAATCTTAAGGCATGACATTGTAAGGAAAACAGTATTCCCGACGTTGGTGGTGTTTGCGAATTAGCATTGCATTGATGAGATGCAAACCGGGGCATATGAATCATATTCTCACATTTAAAATCAACTGCTTAAGAAATAAATTGCGTGGCTTATTTGGGTCTGCAAAACTGGAGCAGATTGCAAACTGTCTCTCAGTCTACTCAACATCTTGTAACAGAAACGTAAGCAACACACAACAATCACTACAACCAGTTGAAAACTCCATTTCGCATGAATAAAATTCGTAATATTGGTGGAAATAGTACTTTGAATTTAGTGTTTTAAGTCTTAAGAAATTAGACATGCTGTTGGAAATTTGCCTGAAAAAGAATGAAATTATTGACAGTCTAAAAGTTATTTTGATTTTCCTATACAGTTTAATAATATTTCATGACGGAGTTTGAAAAATTAGTATTAAATGTCCAAATTATGTCCACTTTGATGACATTCGTTTGTCATTTAGCAATAATTCTAACGGCAATAACAGCTCGCGAATATACTACCCAGAATAAATTGCATATCCTTGGCTACACCTCTCGCTAATATTTGGATGTCGAATCTTGAAATATTGACTTAATTGTATTATTAGGGTTCAATGATGAAATTTTATATCGCTGTTGAGGGATTCAACATTTATGATAATTAAGGTAGAGATGCTGGTTCGCGGGCACTTGGGAGTGAATTTTTTTTTTTTTTTGCTTTTTATTATCCAAACAGTCTTGGCTATAGACTGTTAAAGTTTTGTAGAATTTTGAATACTGGGACATACTCAAAAGACGATTTTAAAAATATAGATAACAGCTGCAAACATCCTCTCTTTTGAATGCTTAGCAAGATTTAGCAAGACTGTACATAAATAATAAAAAAAGAAACATGGTGAAAAAAGAAATGACGGGATCTCCATATTATGCACTATATTTAACGTTTTACAAAACGATAATACATTTAAATATGGAATTGTTACAGCCATTTTAAATATGAGCATTCGCAAACTTCTTACTGAAGGAATTGTGATGCAAATTAGCAATTATCCCAGCTTTTTTAGTGCACATCTCAGAACTTTAAAAGAAATAGCTCCTAGACGCTTTGACCTTTTGTTTTGAAATTTTAACAAATGATTGACAATGTGTTTATCTTCAAAACGCCGTCGGGGCATTGTTTTGGTTAAACAGTGTTACAACAATCGTACAGACAACTAGCCTGCGTGTTAATTTTTGCAAAAACTTGAAGTAGTGAAATTTGAGCTGCTGCCCTGCAAAATTGACAACGGGTTGACAGTTTTCAAGACGGCACTTTCTTCATAGTAAACAGATGTACCCGTAAACCAATTTTGACAGGAAACAGAAGCATGGTTTAAAAGCTATTTTTTTAAAATCACTTTTGACCAAAAAAGCACATTTTTGTGCATATTTCAAACTACAGTGTCTATAACAAAATTAAAATTCATACAATAAGCTTTCCGAAAATATATAGTTTTGTGGACAAGGGAG